AAGAGAAATCAGACAGCACCCCTCATGGGGGATGGTCATGCTGTAATCCCTTCTCTACTTCTCCTTTGGGATGCTGGGCACACATGCACATGCATCTCACATGTTTCTCAGCCTCTCAGTCGGCTGTGTGGGATCTAGCCTCCACACCTACCATGCTACAGTTTGGCCCAAGTCCTTTACGTTCCTAAAGTGTGGATACCTATGGGGTTGGCTGTCCACCTCTTCCTCTGTCTACATGGTTATTAGGTAGCCCCAGTTGGCCAGTTTTTACCACGTGACCTAGCCGCTCCGTCTGTCCATTAGAATGATGATTCCACAGGATCCAAAGTCAGCCCTTTCTCTGAGAACTTGGAACTTGATTAACAGAGCATAAAGTTGCACGCCAGCAGGTGGCGTGGTGGTTGAGACACTGGACTCCCACGTGGTCAACTACGGTTCGACCTGGCGGCTTGCTTTCTTATTTCCCCTCTTTCTCTCTCTGCCTCTCTCTGGTGAGCATACATGCTCTATAGCAAATAATAATATTAAGAAAATAATTTTTAAAAAGAAAAAGGGGGGCCGGCAGGTGGCATGATTGCTAAAGGCACTGGACTAACACATGGTAGACCGCGGTTCAAGCCCTGGACCTGGTGGCTTGCTTTCTCACTTTCCCTCTCTCTCTCGCTGTCTGTCTGATCAAACTGGAAAATAATACTAAATAAATAAAGTAATTATGAAAAAAAGAAAAAGGGAGAGACAGCATAAAGTGGTTATATCTCTTTCTGATTTGTGATGGGGCTTATGATACAAAGCATAAACAGATCATGCTGATCCAAAGAGAGAAGAATGAACTAAATGCAGAGAGGGGTGGAGGTAGGATTTGGGAGCTTTTCAGTTCCTGGCCTCAGAGTCTTCCTAAGGCCCAGTTATTCTTGCTGAGACACCCACATAGCGCAAAATAGAGGCTCAGAGTTGCTCTGTCCCAAGCATCACCATCGGGCATGACCTTTGACAACCGTAGAGCACCAGAGTGGGCTGCACCTGCAAGTGTCCACTTATCAACAGGCATCATTTTTACTGTTGTGTTTTTGAGAGAGAATTTTGCGATAGGGCCCATGCACTGGAGAGACAGAGATAGAAAGCAAGAAATCACTCCCCAGGGGGGATGGCCAAGCCACAGTCCCTTCTCCATTCTCCTCTCAGGATTTTGGGCACGCACGTACATGTGCCTGGTGGGCGTTTTAAGCTGCCAGGTCTGGGACTTGAACCGCAGTCAACTACGTGAGAGTCCAGCAACATAACATTACACTATCTGCTAGTCTCCAGGTACCCATTTTTCAAAATTTTATGCACTAGACCCTGAGATTGATGGCTCCTGGAGTTCAGTATAAAGTCGGTTAATTTTATTAGCAGTAATGACACTTAGTAGCGATTAATGGTCAGTAAAAGCAGCCAACCGCACAGAGGCCTCAGGCCACTCTGGGCCCTGGCCTGCCCAGGGCTGCACTCAAAGAAGGCGACCTGGCACTGCCTTGAGAACCCTCATAGATCCTGGGACGACAGCCTAGAAGACCTTCCAGGACCTAGTTCCTCTTTTATGCT